ATACTCCCGAGTTCGGATCCAAGGAGGGAGGATCCCGCATAGAGGGACCTGGATCCAGGATATGGGGACGGTGGATGCAGTGGATCTCGAACTTTCGTGGGACAATGGAGATCACAGACGGTCGCAAGACGATGTTGGATGATTGGAGAGCTCAGATCCATGACGAGTGTACACTTACAGTGAAGTGGATCCAAGCAACCTGGATCCGGATGAGTGTACCCATAATAGGGTGACCATGTTGATTACGCCATGGATCAGGTGGATCTGAGGATAATACAGCTGGGATGATGGGTCAAGGGAAGGAGGGACATGCAGCCGAGCCTGGTAAGGGATTCAACAAGTAAAATACATAGAAGGTAGAAATCCAGGCAGGTATAGGTTTAAGTATCAATACAGTCTTCAATTTGCAAAGTAACACGCAAGTGCCTTCCCGCCCTCAAGAACCGGAACTACATTGGCCGTACGAGCTCCGTGAAGGTTAGGAATTGCGAATCTAGTGTTAATAGCGATAACTGGATAATACATTGGCCAGATCCTACAACCTAGTGAGCTTTCCTATACACGTGCAGATCCAACAGGCTAACCGAATTTACTACTTGGTCGGTTACACCCTAGAGGTTCTCAACTCTCAAGATCCCGTCACAGGAGGCGGCAAGTACGACGTAAAGGAAACGCAAAGGCAAGGGACACACCCGCAAGGCAACCCTACGGCCAGATCCACGATCTAGGCCTTGGATCCATAAGCTCGAATATTCGCTTAGGATTCAGAACCATCCACGGACGCAGAGGGAAGGTTTTCCACTGCTGCTCCACCCCATCGCCAAGACACTCAAGCTTCACCACTTGAACTCTTCGGAAGTTACCGAGAGAGCAAGATCCCGCCCTACCGACGGGTACACAAGGTGAGGAAAGTTCAGCAGCACACGGATCATCGGGGGACCCCCTCCGTTAGTCGGCGTCTGGGCGCAGATGGTAAGTTGGATCCAGCAATCTCGCAGATTTTGCTGATCCCGCTACACCACAGCCTTCCTCTGCTAGCCGATTACGACGATGTATCTGCTCAAGGGGACGATCCGGATACAGCCTCTGCTGATGTTGTCCAGCAAGAGATTGACGCGGACCCCTAAAACGAACTGGAGCATGTTGCGGAGCAGGCAGACCAATTGAATAGCAACCAGTGGGATATTTTTGACCAAGTTATTGCTGCTGTGAGCAGACCGGTTGGAGGGGAAAAGCTTTTCTTTTTGGATGATCCAGGTGGAACAGGAAAGTCGTATCTACTCGAGCAAATACTTGCTCACGTTCGGATGCAATGTAAGGTTGCCATCGCGGTTGCATCGAGTGGGATTGCAGCCACTCTGTTAACTGGTGGTCATACCGCGCATTCGACGTTCCGGATTCCCCTCAAACTAACAGAGACGTCTACGTGCAGCCTTTCATGGCAGAGCCAAAAAGCCAAATTGATTCGTAGTGCGAGTTTGATCATTTGGGACGAAGCGCCGATGATGAACCGAGCTTGCTTTGAGGCTGTTGACAGGTCACTTCGGGATATTATGAAGAACGAGCTGGAGCCGTTCGGCGGAAAGGTAATGGTGTTCAGCGGTGATCACCGTCAGATTCTACCTGTGCTGAAGGATGCTACGCGTGCGGAGACGATTCAAGCTTGCTTCAAGTCTTCGCCGCTGTGGGAGCATTTGCGTCAAGTGCGGCTTACTGAGAACATGCATGTCCGCACCGCCCCAGACGCGGCCAGTGCGGCTGCGCTTGTGGAATTCTCTGAATTTTTACTTCAAATTGGAGAAGGCCGTTACCCATTCAACCATGAAATCGGTGATGGCGATATATGCCTCCCACGCGACATGTGTATCATTCCAGAACGACGGGTACAGCAAATGACCTCTGATGAAGAAGACGCGGATATGGAGCCTCCCTTAAGTTTCAGGTTACTCCCTCCGGCGGATGAGGAACACGAGCGAGACTTGGACGAAGTTGAAGAAGACCGACGAGTCCGCGACGTCAACGCACTCATAGATGCGGTGTACCCGGGCGTTGATACTGAGAATTTACCCGATGAATACTTCGTTGAGCGAGCCATACTAGTCCCCACAAATGCAAGTGTTCGGCGTACCAACGACATGGTTACGGAACGGCTATCGGGTGAAACGAAGGAGTATCTCTCGGTGGACAGCCTCGAAAGGGGTCGCGGATGTAAATATGTTTGAGCGGGGGTTCTTGGACTCGCTTAACTTCTCCGGTATCCCTCCGCACAGGATTGTTCTGAAGGTTGGAACACCTATCATCATGCTTAGAAACCTGAATAGCGACGCAGGACTTTGCAACAGATCGTGGCTTCGGGTTGTGTCACTGCGTGAGAGAAGCATCGAGGCCAGCATTATGTCCGGGCCGTTCGAGGGTAAGAAGATCTTCATTCCTCGGATCGTCTTTTATAGTGAGGACGATGACAAGGAGTTCCCGTTCAAGCTCAAGCGTAAGTAGTTCCCCGTGATTCCAGCGTTTGCCATGACTATCAACAAGGCCCAAGGACAGTCGATCCACACGTGGGTATCTACTTGGAATCACCGGTCTTCGCACATGGGCAGCTTTATGTGGCGTTGTCGGGAGTGACTTCAAGGAAGGCGATCAAGATTGCTGTGGATCCAGAGGCCATCGATGAGGACGGGAACGTACACACCAACAATATTGTGTGCAGAGAGATCCTTGGAACGTGGACTTGGTAGGTCACATAATACATATAATACATTTAGCTTTGATTTCGAATGCTCTTTAATCCGCCGCAGCGCAGCGGAGGCGGTCAGCCCACACTACACCAACCAACCATGCCCTAGCGTCCGCGGAGCGGGCGCCCAGAGCGCTAGTCCTAAACTATCAATGCTAGCACGATGTCTGTCCGGATTTTTGAGCCTTCCCATTGGCTGTCGCGCAGAGCAAAGGCGGCTTCAATTGGTTTAAATTGAATTATTTAGCTCACATCAGTAGACTCATGTGGTTCACAGAGCACATATGGAGATTTGCACAAGACTATCCATTATCCGAAGGCGGTATCGTTTTATTATTACGAAGTATTTACTATTTTAATAATGCATGTTGCTTTAAATATTTAAGTGCTAAACAGAGCTACTTATTCTCAAATGAAATAGTCCCTAAGACGCTTCCAATGCTGCAAGGAGCTTAGCGTACACGTAGGAATGTGTGCTTTCGAGGACATAATATTAATATGCGTAATACTCTGTACTCAATAGTTTCTGCAAGACTAAATGATAACTACAACAGTTTTACTGAAACTATATTACATTTATCAGAGTGTGAGGTAACTGACTAAGCTACATGTACCAAATCGTAGTACATGTACAGCAGAAGCTGGTCGTAAGAACTGGTCGTAAGAGCAACGCTGTGCTAATAAATGTTGTCACTTGATCCATTAAGATAGATAAGATCTAACACGTGATACTGCTGTAAACAAGAGTTGTTTAGACAGCAAGATCCGATACTACATAACGGGTGGACGTGTCGCCGTCAATGGCGTAGAATATTATTTCAAATGGTGCGGCAAGACAACAACAAAACACGAAAAATGTAATTATATTTAGCTAAGTAGGCCCCACAAAGAAATTTTAATAACTCTTGGAGCCTAAATGACGTAAAGTCATCCTGGAATCATTAAAAAAAACACTGCCGTCAACAACAGCAACAGCACGGCGCCTTGCGACACAATACCCAAATGTTTTAAGGAAGTGAGTATTTTGCCCGAATGGGGACTGTCTTCAAACCTACACCTAGCTGATCTTTTACTCCTCTCCGATGTGCTGATTTTTTTTCAGATCCGTCGAGCGTATAGCGTATACCTGGTAAATACCAAAGCTTCTCACAACCACAAATCCCCCCAGTCAAAACGCGCGGCACCAGCGGGAGGAATTTGGCTGCGCAGGCACGTAGCGCGCAAAAGCGCCCACTGTGAGCTGCGGACGAGAGTGACAGCAGCGAGAAAAATGAGTCAAGCGGATTCTTGCGTGAGTGGCAGCCGTCTCCATGTCCCAATGGACCCGAGATGCTCGGCACATCTAGTAGCGCGAGTGATGGAGCTGGACAACAGCTTGTTATCGCTCCACCTCCTTAGAACAGACCCAATTCGAGTCGTGGAAAGCTTTTGATGACTATCTCAGGGTGTACCAAGCGCAATCGTTCCAGGTAACTTTGCACATTTAACAGCCATCTTCAAAGCGCATTAATACTCACTATATTTTGTAGATCTTTCGGATGCGGATAAACACCAATGCGGCTGATCGAAACGCCAAAATGGACGTACAGAGATCTAAGGCACCTCGAATTCCCGTTGAGTGGGTACAGTACGCTCGGACTTTTGTTTTGTACTCATCATGGCAAATGTTTCTCGACAGCGACTAGCAAACGACCACGGCAAGAAACTCGAGCCAAGGCTGTAATGCACAGGTTAGACCTTGGCTTAACGCTCTAAAACACTCTCATTTTGGCTGAATCGGGCAATTTCTGTCTGAGTTGGGCAATTCTGGCTGAGTCGGGCAAGTTTCGGCTCAGTTGGGTATGCTGGGAATTGATTGGCCACGTTTGGAATCATAATCATTGCACTAATGTCTTTAACGTCCCACAGATCAATACGTGCGTCCAAGTGGTCGACAAAGTTTCAAAGAGGTTTGCTGTCAAGATAACGAAGTGTCATCAGGAGCATAACCACAGGCTATCTGAATATGCATTCCCGGGGCACTCTTCTACTCGCGTTTCCATCCCCAACAAAACCTTGCAAACCGTCGATGAACTCCGAAAGGCGGGCGCTAAGAAGACGAGTATTTTTAAATTTATTAAGGAAAATTCGGACAGCAACCCAACTGCTCAAGACGTCCAAAATCTAGTTTGGAAATTGAAGGATCGTGAAAACGGAAAGGGACCATCTTCCAGCGCAAAATGGATGGAGACGTGGATGTCAGAGTTTGGTTACCGGCCCGGGAATGTCGGTCTTGGAGAAGGCCGTTAGCTGGACCGAAACGGTCGACTTCCCTCTCCATATGCCCTCGTGCTTCAAAGTCAATCAAGACCCCAATCTTATTGACAAGCTGAAGTCCATCCCGCTTCTTTCGACTCAGGTATGAATGTTCTGTATGACTCACCTTTATTAATACTATTAACTAAGACGTGCATTTGCTTACTGACGCAGGCAGAAGCACTGGAACTGGTTGGGAAATCTGCACTGGGCGACAACTCAGTTGACATATTGATGTCGAATCTGTTCGCATCAAGGGCCGAAGTGATTGCGGTAGACACAGGACTCACTGGGAACGTCATGAATGGCCACGCTTCTGTTGAAATCATGCACAATATTTTCCTTGACGTGACCACGAAGAAAATTTTGATCCCAGTGATATGTGGAAAGAATCACTGGTGCTCAATCATGATGGATCTTTCACGAAAAGAAGTCTTTATCTACGACCCGATGAATTCCACCTACGGGGCCAATATTCGACCACTTGCCGAGAAGTTGGTGGCGGTGCTACCTGATTTCGTCCCAAGAAAATATCGAGCCCGTGCCTACCAAAGTGATCTCGGAGTGCAAGTCGATAACTACAACTGTGGGATTTTCATGCTAGTAGCCTTCGAGATATTTTGTGGTGCCGAATGTCTTAGTTTGCTGAGTAAAAAGGAGATTCAGTATCTGCGTGCGCTATAGATATCTGTGCATGTGCATTTAGCGATAACAAGTTAGTTCATTTTTCTAATGCAGACTAGTGCTGGATGTTCGCCACAATTTCATTGGATGGATACCTATATGCTATGCATGCAATAGCAAAATGTCAGAATGCCACTCACGTGTGTTCTTCTCTCTACATGCTGTTCTGCTCTCTCAATGAGCTTCCGGCTATACGTATATTTTCGAGGACACTTCATTAGATGACCCTCCGGCTCTAGCTAAGTCGGGCATATTCGGGCGTGCCTGTCGGGTCAATTCTGGCACGGATGTCCTATCGCGTGTTGCCTATTCGGGCAAAATAACGAGTGCCATGTTTTAATCATAACTGGCACATAATCGAGTGTCTAATAGCTCATTCTGAATCAGCACAAAATGAACACTGCATGCATTGAAAAAGCTTCAATTTGTAATTGTTATAGCTTTCATTGAGTTTGGAATGAAAAGTGATCAATCTTTAGTTACTTAAAAGATCAAATAGGCAGTACAAGCGGGTAAGTAGTGCAAGCAAGCAAAATTACTATCTTTTGCATTGATGCGAGCTAAGGCTCAGAAACGGCCTATGATATCGAGCACGACGCAAAGCTAAATATATTGTGTGGCGTTTGTAGACATGCTATGTGAAGTGCAGGTGATTCTGACAGTCTTTTTTAAGCATGGTAAGTATGATGCTATTAATAGGGGCTCAGGTTTTTGTAGGAATAATTGCACGGCTTACTAAGAACTCAGCATTTTGTAGCGAATGGTTTAAATTAAACCCAGATTTATGAAATTATAGAAGTCGATTTAGGCACATGGGGGTTCAGAGTTTTTCGAATAATTATCCACCCTGAGAATTGAATTAAACCTTAACTACCGCCGCGTAGCGGCGGCGCTCGGCTAGTAAATATAAATATCTAATGCTGACCTATCGAAGATGAACTTGTTTATCGTGATATCCTGTCGTACATGCTATACATGTATTTGAAAAGGAAGGTCCAGTATTAAAAAAACGTATGTAATCTCGGCGCAGGATGGAAAGACGCTAAGTTGTATTTCGCATTTGACATTCGTACACTTGTCGCCTCGCGGCGCGGGTATCATAGTGCGACCTTGCGCGACTGCATTTGCCAAGAGTAACACCATGGGCGCCTGTGCCTCTCGCGACGCCAACCGATCTCCTCGGCGACTCAGCAAGTGGAAAGTGGACGAAGAGACTCCAACTGTCGTTGACGGAACCGCTTCAACTCCGTCGAGAGCGGATGACCAAGCCGCTGCTGCTGCTACTCCAAGCCGAGGAGAACCAGAAATCGACTTGGTATTAAACTGTGTCGCGTTCAGCTCCTTCCTGGGTAACGATTGCCTCACCGGGTGGGAAGACGGCTCCATCCAGCGGCTCAATTGGCACACAACTGCCAGTGCTCCTGTTAATGTCTGGAAACCGCATACTCGGGCAGTGAACCGTATTGTTATTGGGGATAAACTACAGATGATTTTCTCGTGCTCACGGGACACAACGGTGGCTATTACGCCGATTACAGACAAGCCTGCGTCCGAGACGGCCACTGTACTACGTGGCCACCAACTGAACGTATCGACTGTTGCAGTAGACGATGCCGAGCAGACGTTGTGTTCTGGAGGACGAGACACTCAGACCATTTTCTGGGACCTGACAACGAGCCACATTACAGCCAAGAACACGACGCCGCAAAACGTGGTCACGTGCTCGACGTGGTTACCTGGCGAAGCCCTGGTCGCCCAGGGTAGTGAAGATTTGAGTGTAAAGTTCTGGGACCCGAGAACGCCCCTACGCGTGCCTGCCCAGTCGCTACGAGGATTTGTGTATTTCCCTCTGAGCATTGCAGCGTATGGAGAGAACGATAATACTTATCTTCTGACGTCCAGTAAAGGTTTCAACGGGGTTGGCTGCGAGGCTCGAGTTTGGGATCGACGCACAGGCAAGCAGGTTATTGAGTTCCAAGGGCACCAACAAGATGCGACAGCGTGTTGTTTCCTACCAAGCGCCGCAGACAAAAGCGAAAAGACTGGCCCTTTGCCGATGATTCCGGTGACGGCATCTAAGGACGGAACGGTGAAGGTGTGGGATGCTGCTACGCTCTCTCCACTGGCAGAAGCGCACGCAGATGGAGCCAAGCGGATGTTCACGAGTCTGTGCAAGGTGGACACTAGTACTCTTCTAGCAAGCACATTTGGGGGCCAAGTCCTCGCATATTCTCTCGATCGTGAGAGGCGAACACTCGCAGTGAAACCTCGATCCAGTTAAGTAAACGTTACGCCAAAACAAGAATATCTCTTTCGTGATTTATCTTTGAAGAAATATTTCACAGTTTTTGTGGCATGGTGAGGAGTGGCGATCTTCTAGCCGAGTGTGGGCAGCAACTTCGGTCGTCTAAATTCGACTTCGAGGTGCTGTTGGGTGCGTCCGTGGCGAGTGTGTGGCAAGCTCTGGGTCGTCATGTGGCTCGACAGCTCTCGCTACGGAAAGGGGTTTCTCTTCATCAATTAGGCAAGCTCGGATTCTACAAGACGCAGACATCCATGCTGTCTGCTCAACCTGTTTTCCTGCTCTCAGATCGCCTCACTTCAACCTACGGCTTTGTATGGCGACACTGCTCGTCACCAGCACCTCTCACAGCAACGGCAGAAGTCAGTATGGCAGCTCTCGGAAACGAAGCTGGCCTTGGATTGGACCAAACGCGTCGTACTTTAGATGCTATCGTTGCCTTTGTTGGTCAGAGGCTGCAAGGCGGTGGGTGCGTTGGTAAATTGGTATTACCAGGGGTCGGAACTTTCACTGTCGATGATAAAGCGCTATCATTTACGTTTGATTCAAGTTTGCTTCGGGCGATCACACAGAATAATCAAGGAGAGATCGCTCCTCCTTCAGCAATCTTCAGGAAGAGCCCCACTGATCTCTTGCGGAAGAAGGCCATGCAACTTAAAGGCGAAGGTGAAATTACGGTACTACAGCGCTCGCTGTCACTAGATGGACCACTTCAAACCACAAATAAGTCCAAACTTCACCTCAAAGCCAAAATCGAATCAAATATTGCATCACACCGAGATGATCTCACTACACCGAAGAAAAGAAGGAATGATATCGAACCCAGAGAAAGTAGAAGTATCGAGCAAGTGTCACCAAACAGGAGACAAATTCTACCACGTTTCCTGATGCCGGAATCGCGCGTGCCCCCCGACATGCTGAAGACGCGTCCAGCTCACGATCAGGTCATGCAAGCTGCGTACCAGCGCGAGGTAGCCAGTATCCGGCAGGCGAAGTGCGTAGACGTGCAATTCAACAAGTTGCTAGCCCATAGGCAGCGTGTCGTACATATTCAGGACTTGCAGAAGCGAGCAGAGGAGAGTGTGGCTCAGAAGGAGCTCAACGCCTTCCTCAGCAGCCAGATCGAGGTGAAGCGACATCGCTCACGTCTGAAGTCTGCCTCAGCCGACCATAGAGCGATCAAAATCTTGCCGTTGGAGCGCGTGATGGGCGACGAGATGAAGCGAAGTGAGAAGAAGAAGCTTAACCAGCGACTGAACGAGCAGGTGGCGGCCAAGGCGGCGCTTAAGAAGGACAAACGCACGTTGGACCAAGCTGAAACAGCCTATTTCATCTCCAAATTGAAGATACAGGACGATATCGACCGCCACGAGGTGGCAGAGCGGAAACGCATCGAAAAAGCGACACTCCTTGCTGGGTGGAGCCAACAGAAAGCTCTCCGCGCCCAAAAGAGCGCTAGAGGGTAGCCATGCTAGCATTTTTGTTACTTTTCGTCTTTCTTTTAGGAAAAGCTAAAATGTTTTTAAACATTAAAAGCCCAAATACTCTGACTCAAGGATGACACTACGCAATACTCTCCCACCGGTGGTGCTCGCCTTGTTTCTGGCGGCCGAGTATTGGCATCCGTGTGGAGCGGTGGACGTGGGAGAAGTAGAAGACAGCGCTTTCTCCTGTCTTAATGCCACCACGATCTCCATCCCGATCAACTCCACATCATCGAGTAACAAAGTGCAGATTACAGACGCGAGCTGTACGTCCAGCGTTGTGACAGTGAGAGGGACGTCGCTGGATTTACGACACCGAGAGATTGCAGCTGTCACGAGTCTGCCGGCGGTTGACATCGTGTACGTGGAGTGGATGGCGTCTCTAATATAACACAATACGCTGCTGATGTGTGCCATGAGAGTAGAAAACTTGACAACAACGACCTTCGCGCTTTCACGACGAGCAACAACATTTCGGAGCTGTACGTGGTTAATTATCGTTTGCATGATACTGTCAACTTTGCGTTGTTGACGTATTGTACTGTTAAGATACATGTCCAACAACAGCATTTCTACGATCGATGAATTCAAGTTCCCCTCAACACTCACCGTTCTGTATGTGGCAATTGCTGAGAAATACCGGCAAGCTCGAGAGTTCATTAACATAAAAACTGATAAATGTCTAGGGACCTCGCCAATAATGCTCTCGGGGATGTCGCTGCCGCCGACCTCCCGTCGTCTCTTCAGTATCTGTACGCTGCTGTGAAATGGTCTTCCTGGTTGCACGAATCTAACGTTTGCTGTGATCAACCTCTGTATGATGCAGCAATTTATCTGGAAACCCGATCGGCTCACTATCCGACGTGTCCTTCCCGTCCGCCTTACTACGATTGTACGTGTTTAATTGGGGGGGGGGATAATCAATTAGGAGAAAGGTTATTGAAAGTCTCACGTTTTATCGTGACACAGGGACGTGGCCGATGCCAGTATTGCAGCTTTGGAGAATTTTCTTTCCCGAGCTCAGTGACAACGCTGAACTTCTCGGACAACCCCATCACTAAGATTAAAGGCGTCATCTTCCCAGACTCCCTCACAGAGTTTACTTTTATTGCTACCGCAGTATCAGCAGCGACGTCAAGCGTATCGGTTGGTACTCGAGATGAAGCTCGTGAATTGCAGACGACCGGAGAGGATCTCATAGAACAGACAATTAGTGTTTTGGAGGAATTTGAAGTGCGTCAGAGTGATGCTGACAGGTTTGAGAAGCTGACGCTGTGGGACGTCTCCACCACGTCCACACTCAGCTGCTCCGACTCGAACGCAAACCCCCGTTACGTAAAAGATACGATGCTGTGTGTGCTGTCAGATAGCGAGTTCGCCGACAAATACGAGCATGTACTTATGGCAGCATCGAGCGGGTCCTTGGCAGGCTCCATGTGGGGGACAGACGACTCTGCCAGTCGAGAAGTGGAGCGGGTAGCGCTGGAAGAAACACTGGACCAGCGACGCTCGTGGTTTCTTATCGGAGCAGCAGCTTTACTATCGGCATTCACTGTCATGCTTTTCGTCAATGGGCTTTGCTTAAGCTTACGACGAAGTGTTCGTGGAGCCTCGAAAGGAAAAGGCAGCAAATCCACTCTGATGAAGGCAGCAAGCGGTAGAACGAACAATTTTTGGCACGAAAACACCGGTAACGTGATGGAGCCAGACGACGAGGTCCGCCACTTGCTGACATCAGATCCACCGCAACCTGAGCCTGAGTTTGATGCTGAAGCTGGAGATTTGGCCGCAAAGAAGTCGAACTCGACCGACCCTATCGTCTATCTCCAACAAGAGCTTTTACACAGTGAAATCGCTTTTTCGCTCATCACACGTCGAAAACTCCTATCAACAATACCTGAAGCAAGAGATGAAAGCTCTCCTGCGTTCATTTACTTCAAAGCTGCTTTCCAAGGCAAGACGGTTGTGCTGAAAACTCTCAGCATCACTGGATATCGCGAGAGCAAAAATCAGCTGGCGGGGTTATGGAGGTTTGTTGAGGAGATTCGCTTGAGCTCCACGTTGTCGCACCCCCAGCTTGTTGCTTTCAGTGGATTCGTCAAGATGACTCGAGTCACTGAGAGTCGTGGCGACGAGGGTGTCGCTCTCGTCATGGAGTATATGGACAAGGGAGACCTCAATATGTTCATCCAAGAACACAAACGATCTCTGCAGAGGAAGAATGGGTTGGTTAGCGAAGACAAAAGTGACGACGATTTCGACATTCGGTCAGACGATGAAATTGGCCCCACTTTTGAACGCCATGACGCTGGTAAGTGGAATTGGCGAGGCTCGTCCGTCTACAAGAACAAACTTTCCATTGCGATCGAAGTGACGCAAGCAGTTCACTACTTGCATTCGTTTCCACAACCTTTATTCCACGGGAACCTCAGCTCCAGAAAAGTTTTCTTGGACACGTGTTGCAGTGCGTTGAGACGTTGGTCTTCCTCCCACAAGAGCGACATCAGCTCTCTTCCTTCGACGGCAACGAGATCTTCTGGACGTAGCAACTGCAGTTCCCAAACTGCAGGAGAGGAAATCCACATGGACATGACAGTCTGGACAGCACCGGAAGTCCTGGACGGCCGGCAATACACACAAAAAGCAGACATCTACTCGTTTGGCGTGCTACTCTCACAGTTGGCCACGTACGAGTGCACCTCAGCTGAGCATTTCGTCATGGACGACACTGAAGCTCCGATGCTGAACAACACAGACAAGGAAACATCAGCAGACGGAGAGGCGCCGACTCCAATTCGGCTGCTCACATTCAGGTGTCAGGCGTTCCAACCGGAGATCCGACCCACAGCGGACGAATTGATCCAAGAACTGTGTCGTATTGAACAAGAACTCAAGGGATAAAGTACACAATAAAATAGGCCCTCGAGTCAACCTGGACTGCCATTGGGTGAGAGCGCTTGCAACAGAGCACAAACTACCGTACATGCACCTTCGATTCTTGGCAAAAATCGCCCGCGTTCGCTGCATTTGACAACCTAAACTCGCTCCTAAACCTCATCTAGGGAAAGATCCGTCTCGATGACGGTGCGATGATTCTCTGTCCACTGCAGCAGCTTCTGCAGCTGGTCGAACGAGCAGGCCTCGCGGAAATACCGCTCCAGAGTTGGCGACAAGATGTTGAGTTGAAGAGCTTCGTTGCGCAGCGCAAAGAAGATCTTGAACAGCTTCGTCAGCTCCACTACTTCCCCATTGAACATTTGCTGAGCATGGCACTGCAGCTGCAGCTTCTGGTCGGCTGTGAGACTAAGCAGCGCGTCCAACTCCATCGCTAAAGGATTGTCGGAAAAAGTACGCAACATTTGCACTTGTAACACTCGTGTGCGCATGGCTGCGAGTTGGCGTCCCACAAACACGAAGCACTTCCACACGGCGCGCTCCCGCTCTCCGTGGGGCATTGCAAGCGTTCGACGCTGTCGGTTGAGACGCATGAGCGACTGGAAGTTCGCGGGGTTCTGAATACTCGCAAAGGCCTCGGTACGACCTGTGACCACTTCAACGCGATTCTTCCAGTCGAACATTTGCGGCGAGTTCGGGCACGGTAGAGGACCAAAGCCAGGACCACTGACACCCCATCGGTACGAGCGAACGAGGTCGCGATTGATTTGCAGACGCTTGATGCCGTTTTCCAACGTTTCCACGTACGTCTGCTGCTTCCTGCGACTTTCTCGCGCTGAATCTCGATTGCGTTCGAGCTTTTTCTCTTTTTTCTTGGCTTCCTCGTCCATAAGCGACTTGAGAATACTACTCACCTCTGGCTTCTCCGGTTTCCTCGCGATATTCACAAAGCCTGGGCCGCCTACTACTACGCCCTTGGGCTGCAATGGTCGAGTGGGTTTCAGTCCAGTGGAAGGCATCCCCATGGAAAAGGCTGGCGTCATCTCCACGTCACTTGTCTGTCCACTCTGAGGGTTAACCTGCTGCTGCTGCTGCATATTCATATTCATAGGCATCTGCATGTTCATCCCCATGGGCATACCGGGCATACCGGGCAGACCCATGGGCACTTGCATCCCATTCAGCCCCATGCCGTTCATCTGAGCCATCTGAGCCATCTGCATCTGGAGCTGGAGCTGCAACTGCATCTGCATCGGGAGGGGCATCCCATTCATCCCGTTCGCTGCATGCGCTCCATTCAGCGCGTTCATCCCACTGGCCCCGTTCATCATGGGCATCTGCATCTGCATCCCCATCATATTCATCGCTTGAGGGCCCATCATCGAGTACATTAGGAAAGGATTCATCATCACCCCTTGTGGACCGAATCCATTGGCTTGTTGCGACGGATCGTTCATATTAGTATCGATACTGTTGTTTGGAGCTGTCTCCGTCTTGTTGGCGCCGTCTCCGCTAGTGGCGCTGGCTTGTGTGGCTGAAGCGACAGGTTTCTCCTTGACATTGTCTGTAGTGTGTTGAGGGGATGGCGGTGAATTGGACGAAGCTGGTGGTCGAGAATCTGGGCATTTAGCCATAAGTGACGCAGCACCGTCAGCCACGGCAAGTTCCAGCGCTGAAGGGTTTGAAGGATTGGACAGACGACGGTGAGCTGATGGGTTGCTGGGTTTATCAGAAGCCGGCGCGTTTGTGGGTGCAGTCGTCTGGTTACCACCACCGAAGTTGTTCATCCAGTTGGGTGCAGCTTGCTGGAATTGCTGCTGTTGCTGGTATTGCTGCTGGTATTGCTGCATCTGTATCTGCTGCTGCTGCTGTTGGAACTGCTGCATGTGGTTCGGATGCATCTGCTGCTGCTGTGGCTGATGCTGGAAGCCCATCGTGCTCTGGCCTGGAGCTGCAGCGTTAAACATCATGTTCTGCATCACTGTGTGTCCTCGTTGATCTCCGTCCAACTGCTTGGAGAATGCCCCGTCGTTGCTGTCATCCAACATGTTGACGATATCCTCACTGAGCGATCGCTGGACGCTCGCTCGAGGTTTCTGCGGGTCGTCTTGCATGAGTGTGTGGTGCGTATTCATCGTATTGGGCGAGGCGTTCTGCTGCTGCTCGTAGCCTGAGTTGGCGTTGAGACTGGACACGTGCATACTCGGGTTTGGACTAGCCGTGGAGCTGGCGGTGCTGGCTGTACTCACTTCGTCTGTGAATACGTCAAACTTCATTCCAAAGTTGGCGTCGTTCTCGTTCCAGTCGTCCCACAAATTGCGGCTCATGTTGGACGACAGACCTCTGCAAACACAATAATTAGTTAGAAGAAGGTTTCAAAGCGCCCGTTAGACGTGTTCCTTTGACGTACGAGAGCACTGGGTCCAGATGAAGAGGAGGGTCGCTCATCCCGAGGTCCATGGACGGCTCCTCACCCTCGCCAGTCTGCAGATTTAATAACAAGAACGTCAGAAACGAGTTTCTGTCGACGAAGAGCGGGACGGGGTACGTACACCGAGGGCCTGGTAGGGCTGGTAGTGGAGTGCGGCCTTCTTGGCCTTGGGCGCCTTGGACATGCTGCTATATAGGGGCGTGAGCGGCCGCGAGTGGTTGGTCCGGTTGCCTGGTTCGCTGCAATTCGGCGTCTACCGCCGGCCCTGTCGACAGATGGCAAACACGAGATGAAACGTAATCAGAGGTCGTATTTTGCTTCTAACTATTGGCTGAAAAGTAGATTTGATGTGCGTTGATTCGCTGACAAATGTGTCTTTTATATTGCATAAAACACAGTACCTGTATTTCAGAAGAAGTTGACACTGCCCGGAAACGCTACTTGATTGGCCGCACTGAGAGCGCGCAGCAATAATGCCACCATGGCACGTCCCAGCGACCAGCTCCATTACCGGCCAGACGAAAGAGCATAGTGAAGGCAGCACGAGCTGAATCGCAGTATGTGGTGTTGTGGAGGTCATGCTGTCACGACAGCAAAAACGCCGGAAGCGTGTCAATAGAATGGAACTTGATGGCGTGGTACACACCATGACAGCCTTCAGATGGCTACAGAAAAAGCTACTTTCATGGTTATGAGCCTTGCAAATTGCAATGGTACACATTGTGCCTGTCTTGATTAATATTGGTAAGGCCTTGAACACAAAGATTTATCGGTGGGGTGACAAGAAGGAGTACAGGGAGTAACGGCAATAAGAAAGGGTCCAACGAATTAAGTACTGATGGCGCATACGTTACGTAAGTCAAAACAAATCGAGGAGGTCTCAAATGTACTGTATTAAAGAATTAATATCTTACTCGATCGGATTGAGTAGGTCGTCAATTTCACTTCATCAACGTATTAAACCAGCATGTCTGCAGTAGTTTCAAATATCCTGTTATGGCACCTCGTTCGCGGCATCACATATCCACTGAAACGCTTCGGATGGTACGATACTGTACGAGTCCGTGTCCCCGTCAAGTAGACGTAGAGCTGCCTCTTGTATCCGTGTAGCCATAAAGCGCTGCTTCAACCACGCTATGACCCCTTGGTCCATAGGTTGGCATTATCCAGCAGCAGAATATGTCTGCCATGCTCAGCAATTATCTTGTCTAGTATTTGTAGCCACTTTTGGAAAAGCTTCACTGTCATCCAGCCCTTCCCAGTGCCGTCATATGCTGTAACGGGCCAGGTATTTACTCCGTTACTTGCTTACACTAAAGTGTTGAGAAAGCTCGCAATAGAACGACTGAGTCTTAGGTTTAAAGAAAAATCAACTCTGACTTTATTTTAGGACCAAGGCCACAGCCCTGACCACTCAAATACACGTCATAGTCTAATTGGCTGATAATGGGTCTGGCTTCCCATATATCAGCCAATGGCATGACAGCATTTCAGCACACGGCTGATGTACCTACTTATGTAAAGAAATCTACCTACTTATGTAATGGAGGGGCCCATAACATTACCCCCTCTTAAAGTTGCACTTACGCAACATAAGCACTGATGAAGAACATTGGAGAAGACTGCAGGAACGGCAGAGCTAGCGGTGACACTCGCGACATCAAGCCACTGGCGTATCAACAAGGGACACCACGCTCGGCAGCGAGCGTGCAGAGCGAGAAGCCATCTCAGACAACAGCTTGGAGGCCACCGGCGCTGGTGTCGACGCACGTGGGCTTCGAGGAGCTAGGTGAGGTTCGGTGGAGTGGAGCTTGGACCTTTGGAATTGTCCTGAGGCGCATCGAAATGTCTGCGACGTCGTGTCCGAGCGGGTAATGGAACATGCTCACGCGCAGTACGCGTGAGTTCGATTCCCACTGAGGTCAAACTCCGCGACAAGTGCACGAGCAAGTGTTTTTGCAAGAAAACGCTGCGGAGACGATGGATTCAGGAAGACCATGATGGCGGAAGACCGCATCGATGAAGTGCACCGCGGTATCTGCCGCGGTGATCGAATCCGACACCGGAATCAGGTGGACCATCTTGCTGAAGCGGTCTACGAACACCAAGACACCAGAGCGTCCTTTAGCATCGGGTGGGAGCTCGAAGATGAAGTCCATCGACACCGAACGCCAGGCCTCGGTGGCCACCGGTAGACGACGCAGGGGAGCTTGCGAAGACGAGGCAGGTTTCACGCGCTGGCAGATCTCGCAGGTGCGCACCTACTTACGTACCCATTTGTACAGGTGGGGCCGATAAAAGTCGCGTGACACAGCGGCAAACGTCTTCTCGCGACCGAGATGAGCACCCAGCGGGGCATCATGGAACTCATGGATAATCCGTGAGCGCAGATCGGGCTCGTTAGGGACAACGATACGTGGGGTATCGGAGTTGTCGATACTGTACGTCAGCAGCTCGTCCTCGAGACGATATTGAGGAATTTTGTTTCGTACAGAGCGGGAAAGGGCTCCCAGTGTATCGGCGCTGGGAGAACGGAGATGCTCCAGGATACTGGAGCACATCGAGTCATGGTCGTAAGCAGCTCGGATCTCGTCGCGAAGTGGCATTACCGGGGAGACGCTCGTCAGGTTGACTCCTGACGCCTCGCACGTGGCACACTCGTTTACATCGTCTTCATCCAGCGAAGCTTGTCGACCCAATGCACCGCGTGGGTCGTAGTCGGGACGCCGAGACAAAGCGTCGGCGAGAATGTTGTTCTTGCCGGGCTTGTAGTGGACAACGAAGTTGTACTCAGAGAAGAACGAAAGCGAGTGGGCATCCGCTGGGAGAGATGAGGACTCTTCATCGCTGTTCTCAGCGATGCATGGTCGGTGTACACCGCGAAGGTATCCTCACCCAACAAGTACACTCTCAACTTGATCAGAGCGTAGCGCATCGCAAGGAGCTCCTTATCGTGAACAGGGTAGTTGCGCTCCGCCGGCTTCATCTGCCTGGACTGGTAGCTTACGACACGCTCTCGACTTTCATCATCGAATTGCATCAGCACACAGCTGATGTCGAAATCGCTCGCGTCGCAGACGACGTGAAAAGGCTTCGAGTCATCCGGGAGCGCGAGGATTGGGGCCTCGGCGAGACACTTCTTCACCGAGTCGAAGGCGGTTTGATGTGCGGAAGTCCACGACCACGACACATCTTTCTTCAACAACGAAGAGAGTGGCTGGATCAATCCGGCGTAATTCTTGTGTACTTGTGGAGATAATTTGCGAGACCCAGCCACTGACGCAATTCAGTGGGATTCTGTGGCGTAGGCCACGCACATATTGCAAACACTTTCTCGGGGCCGGCGCGGACGCCGTTCTTGCTCACAAAGCAGCCAAGCACCGGAATCTCCGGCGCGCAGAATATGCACTTCTTCAAGTTTGCATACAGCTTGTTTTCGCGCATCACTTGGAAGACTTGCCTCAGATGCTTCAAGTGGACCTCAGGCGCGCTGAGGCCTCCCTCAGCGCGACTGTGTACGAAGATGTCGTCAAAGTAACTTGGTGCGAAATCGCGGAGCGGGCGCAGCACATGGGATATCATGCGATTGAACATGGCTGGAGCTTTTTTCAAGCCTTGTGGCATAACAAGCCACTCCCAGAGCACACCACTGGGAGGGCTTACCGCTGTGCGCGGTATATCGCTCAGCCTCATGAGGATTTGGTAGAACCCATCGGTCAAGTCGATGGCGCTGAGACCTCACTACCCGACATTGCGTCGAGCACCATGTCCTTCCGAGGAATCGTCGTCTGGGCAGGGATGGTAGCGTCGTTCAGCTTGTTGAAGGCATGCACGATGCGCCATCCACCCGTGGCTTTCTTCACACAGAAGGTCGGACTGGAGTGCGGCGATGTGCTCTCACGCACATGTCCTCCTTGCGGCGGCTCTCGAGGAAGTCATCGATATGTGGTGTTGGAATTCCCACGTGAACTCTAGCTACAGATGTAGTTAGGATGTTCCCACAACAATACGTCTACTAGGATAGTAAACGATCGTTCGGGCGGACCTGAAGACCCCAGTTCTGCCCTTGCACCGGGACAAACTGGACCTTGTAAACTACTTATATAGGCCACCCAGTAAAATAAGAACACGCTACTAGCACAAGCAAAGCTAGCAGGTGTTTTGAATCCTCGTGGTCCCAACAGCGGAAGGGTACCAGGCACGGGTAAGCCTTTTACGAGATCACCGAGTGTTCAACACTCGGCTGGAAGAAATAAAAGGGAGGCAATTCAAGCACTCCCAGTCGTGCAAATAGGCAACAATAAGCCGTCACGTAAAACCTCCCGATAATAATCGGCCAATACACAAAGTCTCTTGGCCTTGCCGGATGAACCCTCGCTACAGAGCTTCGAGTTCACCGACAGGCATAACACACTCAAACAAGCTTGACCAGACGCTTACCTTGAAGCCGGACGTCCCTCTGTGTGCTTGAGTGGAAATTCTGTTCTGTATTTATGTTTACCCTTTCGGGTCTATTCCTAATAAGAAGTCCTAATCGAGTATACAAATATCAAGTGAACAATGATCCGTCATGGATCTTCTTGCATGCCAAGCGTCGTCTGCACCGTCGCATGAGTATCTTTAACGGCCCGCGTCCTGTCCCAGACGGTGAACATGTCTTCCAAGGGTCGCTGAGTCTCCCGCGAACTCATCCCAACCGCCACCGAGGGTTCGTACCGTAGATGGTCAGTTCTTGGCCGCTGAATGCGAATCTGGCCAGTACATTATTAATAATAAGGACAGCCTGGAGTCAGTGACATATGGACCGTATCCAATATCCGTTGAGAGTTCGGTAGTGACGCCGTCGAGTCCCTTGCATCTTGGCGTCACCGTACATCACATGACCGAGGGTTCGTCGCTTGAACAACTTGGGCGGTGTCGCGTCTTTGTCGACGGGCGATAATCCGCAACTCTGGACAAATCACTACACCACAACTGCCCCTGTCGCAATGGAAGCCACGGTACTGGTGCCCGTTGTGACATTTCTTCATTCTCCGATTCACCATCCTGCCCCCGTATGTCCAAGCGGGTGAATCGAGCCGTGTCCGACGCGATTCAGCGTCTCAATCCTCGCCGACGTCGCGAACGTGAACAGCTGGAGGTACGTCAGCTCATCTTTCTCTTGAATCATCGGCGCCTTGCTCATCACCATGCATTACTCGTCTTGTTTCTCAGGAGGGCAACACCGAGGTTTCGAACGCCTCTCAGCCTGCTACACTTCCTCCGACAGCGGCGTCATCAGCCGGACCTCCGGCGCTTCCTGTCCCGGACTCTTCACCCCCTGCGGCAGCTCCTGCAGCACTTCCTGTCGTCGATGAATCCACGGAGATGGTTCCTGCTGGTCCTCCTGCGCCTGCTGGTGGTCCTCCTTCACTCACCGAGAATTCGCTGCGCGCCATGCTGGCTGAAAGTACGGAGGCATCGGTCGATCACATGATGACCTCGATAATTTCGTACTTGACTGCGATGGCTCGTCACCAAGTGCAGCTCAGCGTTGCGCCTCCTCTCCACGGCGATGTCCACGCTCAACGTCGCCTCGAGACTGCCGTTGGTTTCGATGATGTTATCGCTGCTGTACAGCCTCTTCCTGACGCGCTGTCGGCATTACCTGACCGAATTGCCAGCTTAGAGCGTCAGTTGTGGTTTTCTCAGACCGAGGCCGCTGCCGCCGTACGTTCGGTGGCACCCGAAATCATGGCTCGTGAGAACGCGGAGGCGTTCCTCAAGGCTGCCAACGCTGATATCGAGGCCCTTCACAAGGACATCAAGATTCTCCGCGAGTCGAATGCCAAGAACGACGCCATGCTCGCAAGTGTTCAGGGCACTATGGAGCGACATTCAGAAGACCTGAATCATCTGCACTGCGAGGTTCAAGCTCGGGACGCTTTCATCGCCACGTTGAACAAGAAGCTGGCTCGTGAACGCGAGGTGTACAAGTCCTCAATTGGTGCGAACACCGAGCAGACTCGGAAGCTTCATCTCCTTCTGGTCAAGCTTGCCCAGGGCAAGTATGTTGACAACGACACGCTCAAGATTATCGAGAACCAGCAAGACCGTAACACTCGTCTCCTTCAAGTGAATCGCACCCTCCGTGCACACGTGAGTCTGGACAGAATGGATCCCGAGGTACTGCGTCTGGCTGTTGATGGTACGGTTCTAATGTTGCTCTTTCCACCGTGTGCTCAGCAACTAACGTTCGTTCACAATCCTTTGCGATAGGTCTGACTGCGGGTGAGCTGGACCTGGACGCTCTGGACTTGGATCAAGAGACGTTGGTCGCCTTGCAGCGCATTCGGTCTGCTGCCGCGTCTTCGGACGATCCTCAAGCTCTCCCTGCAGCTTTGGCCAAGGCCGCTCACCAAGTGGCCCATGGGAAGTCCCACAAGCGCCTTCGACCAGGTGGCGAGGATTCAGACGACGAGCTGGTCGACTCTGACGAAGACACGGCTGCTCCCTTCCCGACGGACAAGACCAGTACTTCGATGGCGGCTGCTGGTCTCGGTGATGCGCCACCTGCCGACACTTCAGCTCCCAAGTCGGCTCGTAGGTCGCTATTCGGTCCGAAGGCGTGGAAGCAAGCGGCCGAGAAGAAGCGCAGGAAGACTCGTCCTCACTCTCCTGCCAAGTCGCCCCGACGTCATATGAAGACTCGGTCCAAGTCAGTACCATCTTCTCCAAGCTCATGGTCGCCACCTCCTACACCAGCGTCTTCGTCAACTCCCGCCGTGGTCGACCTCAGCGGCGACCAGAGTGACGTGGACATGGTGGATGCTGGTCCAAGCAGTGTCCCGTCGGTTCAAGAAGCTGCCACCGAGTCTTCGGGTAAAGACGTGCCCCTGGAGATCGCGACGATGTTCCTGGTCTTCCTGACGCGCCTACGCCCTCG